TAAATTATTATTTTATTTAAAAAATACTAAATATACTTTAATTTTCTAGGCAAATTTGTCTGGATTACAGTTTAAGGGATAAGTTTTTTTCTTTCTAAAGCTATTTTTCTATATTCTGTAATATTTTGTTTCTCAAACATATTTGCTATCTGGCTAATTTATTCTTTTTTAAATAAATTTATCTTCTTATTTAATTTTTTTGTTTATAGTATATTGTTTTAACAATAAATTTGTTTCTAGAATTATTTATTTCTTAATTTTTTATATAATTGCTTGCTTGGTTTGTTTATTTGTATTTATTATGTAAATCTTAATATGTTTTCTTTATTTATTTATCTTAAATTTTATATAATAAAAACAGATTTGTATTACAAGATTATAACTGATTTTCAAAGATAAAAATTTTGATAAATATTCAATTTTTCTTCTATACTGTTAGGGATGTGACAAAAATCAGATGATTTTTTAGAGAGGAAGGGGATAAAAAAAGTTAAAATTATATATAAGAACCTGATTTTTTTTATATTAAGAGAGAGGGAGGGAGATAAGCCTCTAATAAAAAATAATCAGGTGATAAATGATACTGCCCTTACTATTTTTACTTCTTTTACTCAAATCTTTTAAAAAATCAAATATTATTTTGTATTTTTTTTTTTCTTAAAACTTTAGATTATGTTTTCTAATACCATTTGTGTGTTTTGTTAAAATGTTTTTCTATGATTGTAAAAAGAATTGTTGTTTATTAATAATACAGTATTTTTTAATAAAAATCTAATATTTAAAAAACTAACTTCAATTAAAAAAATAATTTTTTTTAAAACTAATTTAACTTAAACTCTTAATAAAAATTATAAAAAACTTAAAACAATTTTAATAGTAATAAAAACATTAAAATTAGTCTAATAAATCATAAGATATAAGCAAAAAAATCAAAAATTTAAATTTTTTTTATAAAAAAAAATTACTTTTTTTGCTTATATCTCATGATCTACTAGGCCGATTTTAATGTTTTTGCCACTGTTAGAATCGTCTTAATCTTTTGTTATATTAAAAACTTAGATTGATAAAAAATAACTATTGATTGCAAAAAACAGTAACTTGTAAAAAATCACATATCTCCGCCGTCTCTAAAGTTCGTGTAATGTACCACAAAATAGACCCAAATGCTTTGTTATTATAAAGAGAAAATTTATTATTTAAAAAGTTGAAAACATAAATTAGCATAATTTTATAGAGATTGTAATTATAGAGGGTGGTTGTAAAGTATGACTATAGATTTACTCTTTTTTTTTTTTATTATTAAATTTCACTTAAGCAATAGCAATTGTCAAATTTTTAATTCAAAGTTTTTACTAATGCGTATTTGTCTTACGTAGTCAGTTAATTTTGTGGCGCATTATCGTGCAGGTGCACAAAAAAAAAGCTTAAACCCTACAGTGATTTTAAATCATAATGATAATAGGATCAAATATAGTACGTATAATGTTTCGTGATATATATATATATAATCCGACTATGCTGACCATATAAATAGACAAAGTTATTTCAAAAAATACGGATGACATTTTAGCATTGTTTTTGCGACAAGCACAAGTTGCGTACTAAAAAGAAAGTAACTTTTTTTTTTTATCTATTTTATCATATGCAATTACAAAAATTATGGAAAGATGAAAGCAAGGTAAAATTAGAAAATTGAATAAGAGTTCTTACGCAAATATGACTCCTGCGCCTTTGGTCGAAATTAAAACACCTGAAATGGTTTTTGGTTGCTTTAAAGTTCAAAAAATGAAGTTTGTCGTGGTCACTAACATTGAATACACTAATAAATATAGCAATTCCGAAAATGCTATACTTGCATAAATAATCTATTCAAAGACGCCTAAATCACCGTATTATAATATGCTTAATGCAACTTAACCATTGACCATGATCATCCTCTATGGTCCGTAGATACTAAAGGATCACTGTACTCATCACTATTGCTGGAAGGAGCCGGTGAATTCGATATAGAAGAAGAAATGGACGTACTTTGATAAGGAACCTGCAATTGGTCGTTCATAAGAGAAAACGAATCTCCAAATAATTGAGTTTCTGAGGGTAACATTGATCCTGAGGTAAATGATGATGGCGGCAAAGTCAAATGAATCGAAGGATCGTAGGTAGACGAAGTACTTCCTTGAGAATCCACTTCTACCTTCGTTAATTGTTGCGAAGTTTCATTTGATTTTATTGATCTTGATTTAGAATCATTCTCTTTCATTGCGTGTTGTTGTTGTTGATGATCCTTTTGTCGATTTTCACCGTTTTGTTCAAATCGAGACTCACCATTATGTTTATTTTTATTTCTATCAGCAACCGCATCATAACGAAAAATACTTATTGATTTTAACTGTTCTATGCATTCCTTAGTTTCATTGATTTTAGATTGAGTATCCAGTAGGCTTTTATTATCTAGCCTTAATCTCATTTCTTCTTGTGCTATTATCTCTTTCATTTGATTGATTAGTTGAGTTCGATTTGTAATACTTTTCGAGACAAGATTTTGATGTTCAGTAAGCACGCGAAGAAGATGATCAAGTTGTTGTGAAAGTATGGATGGACTCGGTTTTTCTGTGATTTAAATAATTTTAAGAAATTTTCAAGTACAATGGTTATTAATAAATTTGTTTATTAATAAATTCCAGGATTTATACCTTCCGCTTCCATTACTTCAGACCAAATTTTCGCAACTTTATTTCCATATTCATGCACAATTGATTCTGATTCTGAAATAGATTGTGTTGCAGTCATTAACTTTGCCTATAAGATCATATAAAGGATTTTCTAGTAAGGATTTCTAGTAAGAAGTTTATAGACTAATTAATTATCTATGATATTAAATAACAATTACAATGTCCGGGCGGCATGGCTGTGATGGCGCGGTATGTACTGATTGTATCAGTCGTTGTTCTGATTTAAGAGTTTTTTGACCTAGATCAGGAAAAAAAATAACACTTAAGATAATAAGTGTCAAAAACTGCGATCCGTAGATTTATTATACCTGTGAAACGCTTTCGCAACTCGTCTAGGAAATCTTTGTCAAATACTTCTCTTTCATCCCATATGTTGACAACACGCCTTATAATACCTTGAACATCAGCAGTAGCATGGCGATAGGTGTGTTCCATGGCATCTGGAAGAACTTTTTTGAATTCTTGAGTAAATTCTAAACCTTTTCGTCGGCTATTTTGACAAACGTCATTACAAAGGTATATAAATGAAAGTTTCCGTGCAGATGATGCTATTAAAAATAAAAATAGAAAAAAAATGGCATGACAGATGTCAAGAAAGTAAGAATAAAATTTATTAAGTAAACATGTTTACCCTTTCGAAGTTCACGATTCCATATATCCACACTAGTCGCAACATGCCGCCGATGATACATAAACCCTAATAGAAACAAATGAAACCCAGATGAGTCACTTCTTAAAGGAAACTAACTACATAAGCGCTTATCGTGAAAAAAGCAGTCTTGACAAGGGTTGAATGTAAATGTTACAAAATAGCCGTCGTCAAACATTCGTTATTTGGCTGTTGAAGACTAACACTGTGAGAGCAAAGAAATAGATTCTTGCGTGTCAACAAGTTTGTTAAGTTTTGAAATTAAAACTTCCTCCGTATATGCCGACATTTCTATTCAATTTCTATTCAATATTTTTTTTTGCGCTAAGGCAGTATAGAATTAATAAGGTTCGGGATCTAAAATTTCTTATTTAACCAATAGTCTACTATAAGTTTACTACTTTTAAGTTTTTGATATCCTCCAAGTAAAATATTCAGAACTTTTACTTAACTCTAATCCTGACCAATTTTTAATCTTAACTCCAGCAAAGATTTTATAATGCACTTTCCTAACAAATCACCAAAATTTCGATAATCACAGTAATGATCGTAACCACACATAAATGTATGGTGTCGTGCTACGTAAAGCCTATCGCTATACTAGACGTGTTTCGATTTTTTTAAATCACTATAACCTTTTATGCAAGAGGTTTTCAAAAACTGACCGATAATTTTATAAAGCTATATTAGTTCTATTAGTTCTACAAATTCACCAAATATTTTTTTTGAAAGATCTGTATAAAAAGTAGATGTATCTTAAAGATTACTACGTATTATTTTTATATATAACTACGAACTTAAAGTGTTATAACTTTTGATAAAAGTAAAATTTTAAAAATCTGAACGGTAACTTTGTTCTTCGTAATAAGCTTTTACAAAATTATCAAGTTTCTATAAAAAGTTGATGCGTTTTCCGTACGTACGTACGTACATACTATTTTTTATTGTCTAGCATAGGCTTCTAGCACCATATAAGGAATGGATTAGTGGCACATAGTAGATGTGTTTAATTGGACTGGCCAAATGGACATGACTAATTGGACTTAAGTCCAAAATAACCTTGGGCCAATTGGACATGACTAATTGGACTTAAGTCCAAAATAACCTTGGGCCAATTGGACTTAAGATTTGAGGATAAGATTATTGGATTAACTAAACAAAAGTTAGGTCCAATTAAAAAATATTGAACTTAAAGTTGGTAACTATGTTAGACAGCACTTTCAAATTTCCGTCAATTAAAAATTGACGTGCGTACGTACGTATGTACGTACGTACACACGTAGCTTCAAAGTTGTAAAATAACGTACGCCATATTTTGAATCGGTATAATTACTTGTATTTCTTGACTAGATACTTTAATTGTAATATTTATGAAAAGTTATCAGTCAAATTTGCAGGTCATATAATGAGATCATTAATCAAGATTTTAAGTGTACTGTAGATCAGCGTTGATTTAATAGTAAAACATAGAAAGCTCAAGCTGCAATAACTCTTGAACCAGCAAGCCCAAATAAAATTATATTTGTCGAGTTCGTTATAATGTGCTCTTTAACGTAATAACGCTCTTTTTTTTTTTTTATTTCTATTGTTTGGAGGGAATAAAATAATAACAAAATTCTCGTTTTTGATGTATTATTAATAAAAACATCAAAATGTAACTTTGAATTCTTTTGTGCATATTGTGACACAATATGCAATTATTAAATTTATAATAATTTATTTTAATAATGTTTCTTTGGCAACATCATTTGGGTTATTGCGTAACGTTATGAGTATTCGGGCCAAATGTCTTAAATTGAAATATCGATGTTCAATCAATTTTAAT